GAAAATGCCTCACTAAGGGTGATAAAACCTTACTGTGGTGGAAATAGGTAATTATCCCCAGCTCAGCCTAAAATGACAGTTTAACAAAATAAAAATGTTACTGCTCATTACTTGCTTTTGGTGGGTTGCAATAAAGGGTAAGTTAAACTTTAATTCAGGGGAGACCCCTGCTTTGACCCTACGCCTGCTGCATGCTCTTACCTTGGCAGTAAGTGCAATTAATTACTGGCTGCATAGGTTACTCCTTGGCATTTGGCTAATTTGAACACTCTCCGCTGAAAATACCCTTTTGAGCTCTCTGGCCATTTGGCCAGATTGGCCGGCGCTTGTTGCTTAGCGTGTCTCTCCCTCTCTCCAATGAGTATTCCTAAGAAAAACCTCTTGGTTGTAAGAAGACAAGAGATGGGCAAGAGTACCGCAAGTGTCATGGAACTTCACAAAGTTGGACAGTAGGATCAAAAAGGTCGGCACCAGAAAATCACCGGAACGTGAGGGCATTTGAGCCCTGTCCTGGATTTGATGCAAGAAACAGTCTCTGAATTTTCACCCGACCAGAGTGAGGTGGCAGAAACGGCTTAATTTCACGCTGCCCCAGGACGGTGGCACACAGCGAGATTTCTAAATTGGCCCAGGAGTCTGAGCCCCACATTGGCCTCCGGTACCACGACTATTTAGTGACTCTTGAGAACAGAAAGAAAGAAAGAAAATAGATGAGAGCAATCCTTAATCGCTCTTTCAGAAAGAGGCTTGAGATGATTGGCTATGAGAAACCGAAGGCAGTGCGGAAAACAAAGAGGTTATAGGACAGTTGGTGGTATTTCTCTGCCCAAGTTGATCTGACATAATTGACTATGGCTTTAGATTGGGCTTGTGCTTTGGGGGAAAAAGAGCGCCTCTCTTATTATGAGCTGATACAGCACAATGATAGATAATGCCGCCTGAGTTCGGTGTAAGAGGTTGGTGCTGTTTTGGAAGGGGGGGGGGATTATTACCTTCGCGAAAGTGAGGGGCCGGCCAGGTTTGCGTGGCCGCCAGCGTCACAGCGTCTCTGGTGCAGGGCAGCCATCTTTCTGGCGCTTGGCTATTGGGACTCTCATCCTCCTGGACTTCCAGCTGCTTTGCTGTAAAGGGGCTTGCCTGGTAGGACATGTCTGGATGCCGCAAGTCCCTCGCATCAGTACCTGTGGGTCTTTGCGGTCTTGTCTTGGGGGCAGATTTGGGGTGCAGCCCTTTACATGCTTAGACAGAAAAGGTTGCCCAGCTCCCGGGCCGGCTGGGAAATGGCCGGGGGTTGTGGGGCTTCCTCCTGCTTCAGGATCACACCCTTTGCTTGAGTTACTTGCATGCTTTGGTGCAGAGCTGGGAAAACCAACGCTGAGCCCAGCCTGACGCTTGTGGATGGACTTGAACCAGTTTACAAGGTTCGCTGTTGTGCGAAGGTCCAGTGGGAGCAGGAGAAAATGGTTGCCATGCTGAGCTTGTTGGAAGAAGAAAAGAGGGGAGCAGAGTTAGTCTCCACTGACAAGAGAGATGGAAGGGCCCTGCATAGAGAAAGGCCTCTGTTTAATTCCTGGCACCCCCAGTTAAAGGTTCCAGTCACGGCTGCTGGTCTTCGAAGGAGCGCTTGGCTAGAGGGGGCAACTTTGCCCACCACTCAGTGGTGGCAGTCGGAACCCCAGCCTCCCCCGAAAGGTTTCACACACGGTGCTCTGACCCCGGCCTTTTGCGCTGGGCCTGCGTATCTCTCTGTCGTTGCAGTGCATGTGGAAACATTTGCTGGGTGCAAATGGTTTCCGTCCCCTCCGAGCGGGAATCAGTGCTCACGGGGTTGTGCCAGGGGCCTCACACATGCCAGCTCTCCCTTTTTGGGCTGTTGTCCCTGCCTGCCTTGGTCCCTTGTGGGGGCATTCAGCGTGCCTTGGGGAAACTGGATAGTAGGAAAAGCCTGATTCTGTGGTTTGGGGACGCCTGAAAGAGCATTTGCAAAGCATTTCCGTCTGTCGGTAGGAATGCCACCATATTGTAGCTTCAAGCTCTCCCTGCCAGAAACTTGACCTCAGGAGAGGCGTTTCAGCATCTTAATGAGAGGAGAGGCTGCAGGAAAGCTGGTGGGCCAGAGCACCCATGGAGAGCCTCAGAGAGTCCCTTTTGGATGGCGGAAGACCCCACTTCGGGGCGCAGGCCGGATGCATTGCGCCTGCCTTGAATTCTTGTGCCGCTTCGGACAAGAAGCAGTTTGTGCAGCCGCTGCCAATACTTTGGACCGTCATTCACCAGAAAGCAGAAAAGCGGGGGTGGGGGGGGGCTGTTCAGTCACACCCCCCAAATGGTGCAGTCAGTACTTTTCCCCATTGAGCTGTAGGTGCCCCTTCATTGCTGCCGGTCAAGGTGGTGGGGGTGGGGGGCTTCCGGCCCTGCCCGTCCCTTCTCAACCTGAAGGCCATTGAGCTTTGGGAGATGTTCCTGCAGAGGGTTGAGGCCAAAGGTGCCTGGCCCAAAATGCCAGCCAGCTTTCGCTTGGAAGTCTTGGTGCCAGGAATTCAGCCTTGGCAGGAACGTCTGGACCTTTTAGAAAGGGGCAATAACTGCAAAGGCCAGAAAGCTGCCTGTGATTGGGCTTTTTTTTGCGGGGGGTGGGGTGGGGGTCAATCCATGGGTCCCAGTGAATGGCACTCTCGCTTTCAATAGAAAATATATCTTGGATCATCTGCATACCGTGCAATTTCTCCTCAGAATGTGGCTTCTCTCTCCAAAATATTCTCAGTCGGCATTGTTGAAGTGAGAAAATGTGTTAACCGTTTAAGTCAGTGATGGAGAACCTTTCAGAGACCGAGTGCCCAAACTGCAACCCAAACCCCACTTATGAATCGCAAAGTGCCAACACTGCAATGAAACCTGGAAACTGGGGTTTTAGTTTAGAAAACTCACAGCCAGTCCAAGCAAATATATTTATATCCTTGGCAGCGCACTGACCGGCCATGCGAAAGCTCGGAAGAGTCACAGCTAATGAGTCGTGGCCTGTGACGTCATCTTCTGGCGCCGCTACTCCTTTCCGAGCATGCGCATGGCCCCTGTGTGCACTGTTATCCGATGCTCGGATGCTGGGGCGACTGGGCCCGCATGCCCACTGTGGCACACATGCCATAGGTTCGCCGCCACCGATTTAAGTGATCTTCTCCTTATGAAAATGGCTTGATTTGGAAACTGAGATGAACTGGTTTGTGATGTATTTATTTTATCGCTTCCAGTCATGTTCTCCCCCCCACCCCTCCAACTGATCTAACCATCCCTGAGTACTAGAAGCTTGCAGGGTGGGAAGGTGGGATTCTTGAGAATTTCCCAAGCACTTCATGGCATCTGTGATTGTGTTAATATATCTTTATATATATAGAAGGGAAGAGAGAGCGAACGACCTGTTCTTTTCATGAATCTTTCTGCCCTCGAGGATTTGAAATACGTGAACTTTTTAAACCGTGGCCAATTTTAGTTGTTGTTCAACAAAAGCCATTCTGACTGTTCATTAAAAATTCTACATGGGTCCTGTTAATTTGAATCTCTTGTTAGGTTGCTTTCACACACACGCACCCGAAACACTGTGTCAACCTCAAGGAAAAAGAACAACATGTATGAAAACTAAATTATAGTCCCGCGCAGCCTGCTTGATTGAACCCTCCTTCCAGCACCGCGGTCTCATGCATCCCATTAAAATATTCAATCTTGTTCCCTTCCTTGAAAGCCTTGTCTGGAAAGGGCAAACTTATAGGGGGAAGAAAACCCTCATTCCCCGGAGAGATGGAATCTAGCTCCGGCGCGGTATTTACATATTTCTCTGCCGCAAGAGAGAGGCACTATGCAAGCTCTCCCCAGCTCTTGTGTTTATTAATAAAGATTGCTGAATGCATTTTTAATTATCTGCCGGCCTTTTTCATTTGAAGCAGTGGGTGAGGGTGCCGCTCGCCTCCACTAAATTGACCTTGGAAAGTTGCTTTTCCCGCCTTGCCCTCCGTCACCATCTGCACTCAACTGCCGAGCGCTGCTTGAGCGGGCCTGCCCTGAAGGTTGCTTCTGTCAGGGTGGGAACCTCTGGCCCTCCAGCTGCTGGCTGGACAGCAGGTCCCATCAGCCCTGGCCAACATGGCCAATGCCCTGTGTTGTCAGGAGGGCAACAGGTTTGGGTGCCGAAGTGGTGGGATGGGGGCTAGAGGGAGCGACGGCGCCCGTCTGCCCCGGCGGTCTCTGTGTCTTCTAATAGCAAAGCCATTCCCCCGAGGACCACCCTTCAACATAGCGTTGGGTGACTGTCACTATGGGAACCTGACAGGGCCTTTTAGCAGTGGCCCCGGGCTTCTGGCATGTGCTCCCCAGAAAGTCTTCTGCTTTACTATTTTTTCAACAGCATCTGAATGAGGCTAACGCTTCTGGAGGCATGTGGGATCCACAGAGTTACAATTCCGCGCTTAACAGCTGGATGCTTCCACTGAATATTTGTTGGCGCTTACATTCTAAGTGATAATTGGACTTATTCACTGGAAGCCTTTCTCTTGGAAAAATAAACCCCAAAAGCATCTTACAGCAGGGGCGAAAACTTGCAGAGGCTTAAACCAGAACCAGCAGAATGCTTAAAATACAAAGAACCTGTAAAACGTCTCAGTTAAGAAACCCTTTCAAACGCTGTCAGAATGGAGGAAAACCCAAACCTGAAAAAATGGCAATATTGGCGCCTGGAAAGAACAGGCCGCAATCGGGGGCCACCACCTCCAAAGATGCCTCCTGCTGTGGCGCCAGTGCCAAGTGCCTCCTGGGGGAATCGCTCCAGGAGAGCCGCACGCACTGGTCCCTGTTCAAGGGCAGCTTCGCAGAAGTGGATGACGTCCTTCCTCGCTTGTTACTGCTTGTCTGGCATTCCTTCTTGCTTTTGCTCGCCTCCCAAGCCTTGGCAGTGGACCTCTGTGTTATAATAAACATGTTGCACCTTTCTGTTGCTTACCTTCTCTCACCAGGACGGAACTCTATCGGTCCCTCTTCGGCCAACAGGCACCTCTTAAAGGAGAGGAGAGGCCCTAACTGCGGAGGCCGGGCATTGGCAGGGCCCGGGATGCGGAGAAGAGGCGGGCCTTGCCCTCTCCGGCCAGCTCCTGGCGCTCTGCAAGCCCAGAGGAGGGAGCCACGGATGTCACTTCTGGAACTCGGGGTGCGTGGCAGCTTGGTGGAGTGTTCAGCCAGTCGCACCTGCAGGTTTGCCCAGACTGGGAGAGGAGAGCGCTCCCTGCTTCTGAAAGCAGCCTTCAAGACCGACCCCCGTGCGGGACACCCGTGGCCAGACGTTGCCTCTTGTCACAACGTGTGCGCTTGTTGCTCAGAATGTCCAGCTGTCAGAGAGTGTGCGGCAGTTCCCCACTCAGAGTGTGTTCTGTTTCCTGTGCGGTTGCCAAGCCTGAAACTCGCCCGGAGGCCGTTCTGGCGGTGTGAGGTGGTTACGGAGAAGCTGCCACTCAGCCTGATCTGTATGAAAGCGAGCCAAGCGCCTTGTGGAGTACGAAGAACGCTCGCCCGACGTTCACCTTGCGTCTCCTTGTGTGGAGAGATTCTGGGGGCTGCAACTCGATTTAACACACACATACACACACAATGCACATTTGTGTGCTGTGTGGGACAAGACTGCCGCCCAGTAATGAATGCTCGGCTGCAGCAGCAGGGACAAGGTGCAGTGAGCAGGTCTTGGTGCTGGTGGCTCCTCGGCTTTGCCGGGAGCCACATCCACCTCTCTTATTTGGCTGAGCCGTTCCTGTATCTTAAAAATTCAGTTCAGGAACTCTAACATCATAATGCGCTCCTCTGAACTTCTGTGAGCTCCGTTTTTAAAAATACATGCAACCCATTTTCTGAGCAACTGTTCCCAGGGGAGCAGAGCTAAATTTTACCTCCGGTGTGTACCGACACACGCCCAACACCACCAACAGAATTGTCTTCCTTCGACCGCAGATCTTAATGTATTTAATTATTTTCACTGATGGGGATTCACGGATGTCTCTTCCCAATAGAGACACATTCTGTGCAGAGGTTAGCCTTGGTGTAAATCTAGCAAAGGGAAAGATGATTCACTTGTTTTTATTCAGAAGGTCAAAAAGCTGGGAATTAAATCCCCATAAAGTGAATTTATTAGCCTGCTGTGATCAATTGCCAATGGAGATTATCTTGCATAAGTAATATGTGCATATGTACCTTGTAATATAACACCTGTATAGATTATCTTCATTCCAGCCCATATCACTTAAAGTAGAATAAAATAGTTTTATAAAGCTGGCCACCTTTATAACCTTCTGTATGGACTGTAGCCTCAACAGGCGGTTTCCTTTAAATGTCAGCCCCTTTTCTAATTATCAAAAATTGTACTGCAGGTGAGAATTTTAGTAATTTGCAGACACACACATGCCAAGAAAGCAGCAGAGGTTGCTGTTCAACAACTTTATTTATTATATCTCTATCCCGCCTTTTTTCCTTCCAAGGAACTCAAGGCAGCTTAGATAACTCTCTTCCGCATCTCAGTCTTACCCCCACCACAACAACCCTGTAAGGTAGGTTGGACTGAGAGTCTGTGACTGGCCCAAAGTCACCCAGTGGGCTCCCTGGCTGAGCGGGGACTAGAGCCCAGGTCGCCAGAGTCCCAGTCCCACACCCTCAGCCTCCACACCATTAGCTGTGGGGGAAAGAAATTGCCGGTGACACACGGCGCAATTGGGCACTGTGTGGGCACAGCTCCTTTCGTGAGCATAACCTGCATGGAGGGCGGAGGGGTTGAGTCGTCGGGAGACCCCGGTTCAAAGTCCTCGTCGGCCACTCGGCTGGGCACGGGGCCTGGTGCTGTTCTTGGCTGGATCTGCCTCATGTAGCCGTGCCTCGGCCGGGTGGCCCCCAGCGGACTCTCCCTGGCAGACTGGACACAGATGCGCCCCCTTTGCCGATCTCTGGGCGTGATGGGTGTCGGGGTCAGCAGTGCTCTAAAGAGGGCACCCCATCAGCCTTCCTTGCTGGTTGTGATGTGGGTTTTCTGGCAATTCGGAATTGCAAAGTTAGGGTCATTTGCTTTGCACTTGGACGCTTTCTGACGGCCTCAGGTGTCAGCTAACTTAGGACCTTTAGTTTCACTTGTGTTCCTTGATCAACAAAGCAAAAGAAGGTAACCCATGTTAACTGTTGTACCGGTGCAGGCCGAGGATTTGACCTGCAGTACTTGGAGAAGGCATAAGTAAAGTGCACTCTGTGACTTAACCATCACTCTCTGGAATTCTTCTCCAGATGCAAACCTTGTGAGACTTTCAGGCTTGGCTTTTGCAAGCATAAAGACTAGAAACGTTCAGTATTATTATTATTATTTAAATATTGGGAAAGCTGCAGTTGTCACCAAGCTGAATTCTGCCAGATCCTGTACTTTTCTTCCCTCCATGGTTTGTTGTTTTATTTTAAATTTATACCCTGCCTTTCTACCGAGGAAATTGTGTAGGCAAGAAATGAGAAGTAGAACAAAAACTTGGCATAATCCGTAATAAAATGGAGTATCTTAAATGCAGTCAAAGAATCAGAACATCACCGGGTCCAACGGGCCAGATTCCACATGCGAGCCCCGTTTGGGGCAAAGGTCTTTGTCTTCTGGAGGAAGGACGGCGAGGGGCACCCCAACTGCCCCCCCTCGTGGCAGGCCCGCTCTCGCATTCCCCTCCAAGGATGCCTCTGCTTAGTGAGGCTGAGCTAAGGGCCTTTTGCAAAGACCTGAGCTCCTTCCGCGAGGGTCGTGGTCAAAAGTGTGTGCCTTTCAAAGCCACATTTCGGAAGTGAGCTAACCATGTGCATTCTATCCACACGGATTCTCCAAGTGGCAGAATGAGGACAGTTACCCCCAGCAGAAAATCGAAGGGCTCCCCCCCCCCACCTCTCGGATGCAGAAAGTATCTGTGTCAAGGTGAATATTGACTTTTGTCTTAGAAAATGTATGTAGCATGGATGAATAAATCTTTATGTGCATTTGCTGCAAAGCCAGAGCTGTAGATCTTGGGGCCTCCATTGATTTTTCTTTCATTCTTGCCACCTTCACACTTCTCTTTTTCTCCACCTCTCGAAGGGTCAAAATTTGCCTGGTGATTTTTTTTTTTTTTAATTGTGCCACAGTCGACCTCTCCCAGGTTGCAATTTCTATTCCTGGATCCAGACGACAACCTTCTGCTGTGAAAGGGTTGTTGGGGTTTGTTTTTTGTTTTGTTTTGTTTTTTTGCAGCATTCCTGGCTAAAAACACACACGTATCATGTTAAGAAGGAGGTGGGGGTGAAGTAAAGTGCTGAGGCAGGGGGCAGCCTATGGGGTTTGGATAGGGGGCTGAGGGAGAAGAGGAAGATCTGGAAGGGCTCTGCCTTGCAGAGTAGACAGAGAATTCCTGTGGTTTGCTGCCATGCCTACTGCGCGTGTCGGAGGCCCCGGGTTCAGCCCCGGCAGGACTGGGAAGGATGTGAGTGGAAGCCCTGGAGAGTGTAGACCAGCTGCAGGGAACCTCTGGCCAGGGGACCGAAATCCGCTCCTCTCAGCCTCCCAGCCTGGCCCTCTGCCTTGCTGTACCTTGGCTTGGCCCCTGGCCAGGGATGTTTTAATGCTTTTCTCTCCATCCTTAAAAGCTGAAGTACCTCCCCTAAGCTTAGACAACCAGGAGTTTTTGGCTTCATGTTCTGGAGGAGAGCTTGGGGAATGTTTCTGGCTGCCCCCCTTTTATTTTTTGAGAGACTCCCCACTCCAGTGGGCAGGATGTCCAACTAAACGGACCCCTGACCCAAAGCCCAGCGGGGCATTTCAGGCATACGCGGTATGTCCCAAAGTCCAGTGCTGGGTGGGGCGGGGGTCAGTGTGCCCCAGCAGTGGGGGGAGAGTTACTTCGATCGTCTTTCCCAACTCTAAATTAGTAGCACAATTCGCGCTTGCGCCTGCGGAGGAAGGTCTTCCAGATTGTCCCCAGTGCTCCGGACAGGCATCCTCTTTGCAGCCGCAGCGTCCCCTGGCCGATCTCCCAGCGCCTCCGCTTCTCTCCGGCTCGGCAGGATCCAGGAGGACGGCTCTGCTTTCTGCGCGGCAGGAGGCCGACGGGATTTCCCCAACGGCTGTCAGCTGCAGCGTGAACCGGTGAGTCAAGAAGGCCGGGCACCCCCAGCCCCACTCCTTTCTCTTGCAGGCCCCTAATTCTCTGATCAACGGAAACGTGGCACAGCCCCCCTTTTGGGGGGGTCACCACTTGTATGTGGGCAGAGAGAGGAGGGTCAACGCTGTGCCAGAACCTCCCCTTGGCAATCAAAAGCCCTTGGAAGTAGACGTGCGCCATCTTTAAAAGGCCGCGACTCAGTTCAACAGCCTCCGAAAAGGAGTGCAAGGAAGTGCCCAGGGGATCTTCCTGAGTCTGAGGAGCATATTCTGCAGCCAAGGTGCTGCCTTTCCCTCGCTGGCCACCTGTTGCACCTCACCTGGCAGGAAGCGTGCAGGAGCTGGGAACGTGAGCCCGGTCAGCTGCTGGGGGGGGGGGGGGGGGGGGCTGGGGGCCTCTTCTCCAGCTCTCTGGCTCCAGAGGAAGCTGGCCGCTGTGGGTCCCAAGGGGCTGGTCTCTCAGACCCAGTGGGGCAGCCCTTCCGAGGGCCGCCCTGCCGCCCAAGCTGGCCTTGCTTCTCCAGGGACCTTCTCGTGCCGCCCGCCCAGCTGGCCTCGTGTCAGGAGTAGGCCAGCCCCTCCTAAGGCTGCCAGTCTGGAGGAGGCAGGGGGGCTCCTGTGGCCGTCAAACGCCGGCCGTGCAGGAACAAAAAGAGCAAGCACATGCATGGACGACGCTGCAACCCCGAGCTCAGGTTTTGGGACGCTTCTTGTGTGCTTTCCTTACCAGTCCCAAATGCCACTTCGGCGTTGCCTCTGTGCTTGGGGTGGCCCAGGGGCCCAATTGCGCGCGAGTGTGGATGGCAAAACGTTGGCGCCCACCAGCATTCCCAGCTGGCGGTGCAGGCAAGGAGCTGAAGGCCTTTTTTGGCTATACTTGTGCCGTGATTGCACCTTAAATGTTTTTTTCCCCAATTTATTCTGTCTTCAACAATAAAATAAGAACCGTAACCCCATTTAAAAGAAGAAACTCTGTATGCGCTGTGGATAATGAAGTAGAGCTGCCTGCCAATTAAGGAAGTTTTGGTTGATTAATTGCCCTCCTTTAAATACTGAATTGATTTTAATGAATCAATTAAATTTAAGAGATTTGCATATTATCAAAATTTTAGTTCAGGTGCCTTTTTAAGAGATTAGAGGACACGCAGGATGGGGTTCGGTTTCATAAGCAAGGCTGCTGCCCCATGTCAACGCAGAGTGACCTGCTCCAGGTCAAAGAGAGCAGTGCTCGCTTTCAGGTGGACCCGGCTCAGCGCTGAGCGCTCCTAGATAACCCTGGCCTGCCTTAGGGGCTTGCTGTGACGTGTTGAGCATTTTGGGAGGTGGGATGAAGCAGAAATGCCGAGCTGCGGCCTTGTCCCGCAGCACGTCCGCTTTTGTGCACTAACCCTATGATCAGCTGCGGGGGTAAATCTGCCTGCTTCTATTTCTGACGGCTGGTCTCACCACGGCTAATATCAATGATTCCAGCAACCGATCAGGACATGCTCCTTGCATAATTTCTTGTGTTGAGAAATTATGAATGAGAAGAAGGATGAAAAGCAATGCTCTGTGTATCCAGGCTAAGAGTTGTATATGCAGTAAATACTCCAAAAGTCTGCCAGGACCTTTTTCTTAAAATCACATTAAGAGAAAGGCTGTGAGTTTTTTCCAGTCTCATTTATTTTAACAAGAGCACTGTCCCGCCTTCCCCCTAAAACTGGCCTTCAGGACAGTTTACACTTCATGTTAAACAGCCCAAAATATACACAGGTTGAAAATAATTGACCTTAAAGTCCAAATTATGCAAAAGACTGCTTAAAATAATCACTTTATTTGCAGATAATGCCATGTCCGGGTTTACATTAACCGTGGCTTGTTGCTTTAGCCACGATTGCCTTGCAGATGAATGGCCATGCAAACTGACCAGAGCTAGCTTTCCTGTTTCCGGTTTGTTTCTCTCCTGCACATTTGGTCAGCCTTCAAGACAGTTTTGTTTTCAGGTTGGAAGCCTTAAATTTCAGGGCAGACAGCAGCTCACACAAACAAGGAATTAGCCAAGATTCTGAGTTCCAACATTATACGCCCTCATATACAAGGGAAACTTTGTAAGCTACTAACAAAGCATTGCTTGATTGTGGGAAACATTTGGGTGTAAGGAG